CTATCATTCATTTATTTATTAAAATGTTAAATTTATCTAATTCATTAAAAGAAATATTTAATATCTTTACTGATGTTATAAAAGATAAGTACAGTATTTAATTGAAATAACTGTCAATTGTAGTTTGTTGCAATGCATTCATTTTTTTTCTCTAATAACTTTTTTAATTTTATAAATTAACTTTAAATATTTATTATTGTTTTTATGTTGGAGTAGATATAGGTAAATGGTCTCTAAATCTTTAAGTGCTTTATTAGACATAACTATAAAAATTTCTAAACTGTCATCTACTTCATCAGGATCAGAATATTCTAAATTATATTTATCCTTGAATATTTCTACAAGTTCTTCAATAACCTTATCATTTTCAGAAATTTCATAAGTGATCTTTTCTTCTAAAATAGTTAGAAAACTCTTCAATATGCATAAAGTCAGAAAAATTAATATTCTTAAGTATTTTAGAAAGATCATTAAGTTTAGCACTGTCTTAAAAAATATTCTCAGAGAGATTTCATAGATTTGCATTATAAGTAGTGGAAAGAATATTAGTATATTTCCAATAGTTACGTATAGTTTTAAGATTTACTTCTTCTTAGCTTTGAATTATAAATTGAATAGCTTGCAAAACATTTATTTTTAAGTTTTCTGCCTGTTTTTTAGCTTCAACTTGCTATAGCATCCAGTTGATTTGTAAATGATGATAGTGACATTTAAAACTCATAATAATCTTAGCATCCAAAGATTGAATCTTTGATGTTGTATTAGAGGGTAAAAATTGAACTTCAACATGTTTTAAGTTTAAATTATCAGTTTTATAACTAGCACATTGGTCTAAAATTATGAGCATATGTTGATCATGATGTTTTTTGGCAATTTGAGAATCAAATTCTTGAAGTTATTCTTGAAAAAAAGTAATAAGCATTCAAGCTTTGATATTATTTCTATACATAATTGGTATACTACTAATATTTATATTTTTGAAGCAACATGGTTTTGCATATTTACCAATTATTTTTTTTTAGTATTATCATCTAATTTGTTAAATAACAATAATAAATATACTATAATAAAAATAAGTCATTGCATATTGTCAAATGAAATGACCTACTATTATAGATTAGTTAGTTAAATAATTAATAAATTAATTTGTCATTTTCTAACTAAAAAGTCTAGTTTTAGCAACTCAAACTCAAATATAGATATTTATTAGTAAAATTGACTCATTATATTGAGTTGACTTACTACAACTGCACCTAAGTGTCAAATGAATTAACACACCTTAATGTCAAATAATTGACACACTTTTGAATAAAAAATATAAAAAGAATTGATTTTTACTTGAGTCAAATTAGATTCTAATCTTACATCTGAGAACAAAGACTTTATGGCCAGTTCTTATAGAAATTATATTTCTTGTCTAAAGAATAGTATAATTTCATTAATAATTTATACAGAATTTTACTAAGTTAAGTAAAGTTATAGTTTTAATAAAAATTGTTTAGCATTATTAGAAATACTATAATCTATATTTTTATAATTATTACTTTAAAACAGATATGTATTATTTTATCAACAATCATTTGCTGAACACCCCATCACACAGAGTGATAGTTAATATTTAATAATTGTTTGATGATTAATAATTATTGTTCAATATTACTCATTATGCTGTGTGATAGTGTGTTTAGTGAAGTGATCATCAATGAAATAATACATATCTTTTTAAAATTCATTGAGTAATAATGATTTTTTTCTTAAAAAACACATCAAATTTTTTTACTAAATATCTAATCGTAATTAGCTGTGGATTAATTTTTCTTATTCTAAACCTATTTTATGCTTTTAAGTAAAGTTGTTAAGCATGTTTTCGTCTATTAGTATATTAAATTTCAGATTTTTATAATTAATATTTATTGAGATATTAATGTTTTTCTATTTTGTTTTGTAAACGAATTTTTGTCTTTGATGAAAATGATGATCAATTGAACTTATCATTTTTTATTTTGATTCTAAACCTTCTACTGCACATTAAGATAATCAATAAAATATGTGTATAAAATTTTTTTCTGAAAATTTAAACTTATTAAGAATTTATAGATATATAACATTTTTTTGTTCAAAAACTAATACTGAATTTTTTTTTTAAAGTTTATAAAAACATTTTTGTTAATTTGACTAATTCATTTAAAGAAAATATATTGTATGATACTAATGAAGTTGGTACAGATGATATCCAAGAATTTATATATTAAATTTCAAATTATACAGATTAATATTCACAAAATTAAATCAATTTTTGATAAAATGATTTTCTTCTTATTTTTTGCAGATCTTTTTTTCAAAATTACTGTCATATAAACTTTTATGTTTATACAAAATTTACTAAGTTAACTAACTTTGTGCTATTAATAAAAAATATAGAATAGATCAAAAAACATATAGTTTTATAATATGATTTTATATATTTTTCTAATAAAATTTTGAGTTATTTATAATTTTTTAAATATAATTTTTTTAAAATTATAATCTAGTAAATGTTTTTTTGCATCTACTAGATTTTTATTTATATAAATTTAAAAATATCAAAAAAGTCAGCAATTAATTCAGAAACAAAATTTCATAGATTTAATTTTACTTTATATGAAAGACTTGATACTTTTAAACATCATATTTTAGCTGCATATTTAACAATTACTTTGTCAATATCAGTTTTTTTTTTTTTTTTTTTTTAATATTT